ATGCAAAACGTAGATGGTTGCTTATGGTGCCAGCATGCCAAGGGCTGGAAAATAGCCATGGCTTCACCACTTTCTTGGCGTGGGTCAGCTAGCCCAGAAAACCAGGTTTCCCACCACTACCGGTGGGCACCAGGGTGCAAGGGTGCTGGCTGCGGTGGCAGGGCAGCAGTCCCAATCCTCTGGGGCTTCTCTCAGCAGCCAGATTCATGTATTTTTTTTAAATTATTAATCTAAAGCAAGATGTTTGTTATTTCCTCCTTTGCTTACATTTCAGTAGCTAAATATATTTTCCTGCCAGAGAAGAGCTAGGAATCCAGGAACCTGAAGCCAGGGGAGGCAGCGATTAGTGGTTTGAAGTGTTAATGTTACCACAGTGGGAATGGGGAGTCCCTTGAACTCAGCTATTAGCAAATTAATAAAAGGGGTAACACGCTCTCCTGAGTGTTACAAATTTAGCACTAATTAGGACTTCTCTTTCTTAGCTATTTTAGGCAAGAAAATCTTCAATATCCTTTGTTAAATTTGAATCATCTTGTTTGTAGAAGTAAATCATACAGGAACATCGGTTTCTTCACCCAGCTACAATCTATTAAACTTGTTCCATTCTCCTTTTCTTTCTGATAAGACTTACAGCTGGATATTTTGTATGCAGTTAGCTTTATTTTTTAAAATAGGGTTTTCTTTGAATGAAACTAACCTACAGGCCATTCAGTTCTCACAGTCCATCCCAAACATTTCAAAGATCCCCTCTTCACAGGAGCATCAGTGCTCCAATTTATTTACATTTATTTATTTATTGCTAGTATGTTCCAGATACTAAACCTCTCAGAATTATTGTAACTGGTAAGCCATATTTTTCTGCCAAATATCTACACAGTTTTGTGTAGTTTTGTGCACTTCAGAATTAATCATGAGAGAAACGTGATCAGGTTTGCAATGAAAAAAACCCTTAATTAGAGCAGAGGCCAAAATGTCCTCCTGTTTTTCCTTTCTTCTTGCACTGCCCAAACCTTGCTCATCTAAACAGTGCCTGAGGTCCAGAAAACAAATCTCACAGTTGATTGAATTTATCTAATTGTGAATTGATGTCTACACTTTTACAGATATGTTTCAAACTCTGCCTGGTGGCTGTGTTGGCTAATTTGTCTATACCCAGGAAATTAATTCTTCCTTAACTACAGAGCAAAGCTATGATGTTGGGCAATATATATCTGCCTTTCTGGAAAGAATATTACTTCTCTCTAGCAAAATCAATGCATTGCTAAATGATTGACATAACCACAAAAGGTTTTTGCTTTTAATGTTTAGGAGAACACTGATGGGGAAGAGAAAGCCCTACAGTTTGCATAATGAGAGTAGAGTCAGACTGGCTGAAGCAGAAGAAACTCACTTCAATTCAGCAAAAGCCATAGCTTATTTGAGCAATACAGGGAAAACATAGATAGAAAGTTACATCTTCTGATGACACTAAGTAAAAGAGCATGTTAGAAGTAATCAATAGTGAGCTTAGGGTTTAAAACACACATGTACACATGCACACATGTACAGCAGTGTGGAGAACCCAAGTAGACGCCATATGAAAATACACCTAACAAATACTGGCCACTGTCAAGGTGGCTTTCCATAAAATAATGCAAATTGATGTTAAAATCTAGATTTTATAATCAGTTAGAAAGGGTGGTTCAGCA